GAGAAGAGGTTCGGTAGATTTATTATCATCGAAATCTCCGAGGTCATCATCAATTGATTCTCCAACACGAATAACATATGGATCCTCAACTCGTACATCCTTCGGTTCACCTCCCAGATCTAAACTTGAATCATCTGAAATCATTAGTTCGATAGATGAGGCTAACGAATCTTCACGGGTGATCGAAGTTATTTCAATCAATTCGCTTATCTCCACCTCAGAACCTCAGTCTGTTGATACACAGAAGGTAACTTTGCACATTAAATACACATACACACATATATATCCACTGTCACTTGTTAATTCAAAATAAATTGATTTGCATGATTAAAGAATTCAAATGCTGATGGGTTATCCGCGGGATCTAACGTGACTAATAAGAAATCTGGTGAGGAATGTGGAAGTCCCGTATCACCGACTAAAGCTTTACACGTTATTGAAGGAGAAACTAGAGCAAGTATAATCGGACAGTTGTATACGCAAGAGAAGCCCAGTGCAGCATCACCTATCATTGAAAATAAGGAAATTAATGAAATAATGTCAGAAAATAGTTTAGGTGTTGGAATAACAACTGAAAACGAGGGCCCAACAATCGAGGAAGAAAATTCGGAAATTCAAGATAGCCCGAAAGAGGAATCTAACATGAAGGAACTTTCCAAGGTTGTGTTAGATACATAAGCCTATAATGGTTCAATGGATTGCCGAATTTTGTACGCGTGTTCTTATATGATCATTCGTAATGTTAATAACAGGAGAAAGAGAAAGCACCCTTGTTGCGGCCGAAGCCAAAAGCATTAAAATCAGATCCGTTGCCAACAAACAATGAATTATCTGATTCATCTTTGATCGATGAATACGAAAAAGTCCCTAAACATTTAACTGACCCAGTCGTGAAGGAAGTAGAAGAAACAGAGGAGAAAGATGGTTTGCAAAAGACTCCAGGACGGATTAATGTTAAGGATTTTTTCAAGGTAAGTTATCAACTTTTGAGATTCAAATATAAGTAAAACATTATTCTTGATGAGATAAAAAAAAGGTACACCTGTTCCTTCAGGAAAAGGGCGACACGCAACCACCTCGCCCGAAGCCGGAGCCGCCACGCAAAAAGACCTCTCTGCTTACCGCAATGTTCGAGGATGCAGATAAGAAGCATGGAAGTGAGGGATCAACCAAATCTTTATTTAATAAAAACGTAAACTCCGTGGTACAAGCGACCACAACCACCGTAGTAGAGACGGTAGCGAAGGTTAGTGAGGAGGGAGCCGAAACTACTAAATTGGAGGTGGAAAAGACTAACATCGCAATAACCGTTGGCGATATTGAAAATGAGAAACCTGAGATAGATGTGCATAAGAAAGGGGATCTGCCGAAAACTTCGGGAAGATTAAATGTTAAAGAATTTGTCAAGGCAAGAAAGGTTTAACGTTTGTATGTGCGATTAAGTTCCGAGATAAATTCTAGAAATTTTGATTTCATATTTTAGGGAAAAGAAAGTAAACCATCTACACCGTTAAAGTCCGAACCACAACGAAAAAAAATATCCCTTGTAGGTACTGTTTTTGAGGATTTGCAGAAAAAAAACGAATCCAATTTAGATAAATCGTCAAAATCACCAATTGCGCTCACGGGCAAAAAGATTGATGATAATCACTCGTCGACCACCATTACTACAACCACCACCGCAACTGTTTCTAATGTTAGCACAGTTTTAGCGTCAAAGAATCCTGGTGAGGAGAATTTAAAGGTAATGTTACACTGTTAGTTTATACATTGGAATCATCTATTTCTAACATAATCGATGTTAATTATCTCAAGGGAAAGGGAGTTACAGATACTTTGGACACAAAAAAGTCTCAAATAAACACGAGTGGTAGTGAAAGTGCAGCAAAACCACAAGTTAATAAAAAGGTTGTACTTGATAGATTACCTTGGATGACACAGGTGATGAAACCCTTATGAATATTTAAATTTTGATTATTAAATTTGCCTTTGGAGAATTGACATTTGTTCTATTTGCAAATTTTTAGAAATCAGATGATACCAAACCAACTTCTGCAAATCCTTCGAAAGGTCCGGTTCCACGTAAATTGGCATCTTCGTTCCTTACCTCAGCCTCTACTACTAGCACTACCGCCGAACAGTCCAAGCCAAGAGTACCTTCTAAGTTAGATGGTTCGATTTCGCAAAGGCTAGAAGGTGTCTTCGGAGGTAAAGTGCCATTGCCTGGAATGGGACGTGGAACAATGGGACTTGGTGGAAGGAAAGTGAGCCTGAGCGGAGAAGAAAGTAGTGATGTTGGGCGAGTAAAAGTTATGATAGGAGCTAGAGATGAGACCGGTTCAAAGGATGGCAAGGATGAAACATCCAAATCCGAAGAGGTGACGAGTACTCCATCGACGTCGCTCAAACCTTTGAATCATGTACGTTGTCATTTCGCCTTTTACGATTGATTGAAAAATATGTTAACCTGTTTATCTCTGAAAAATAAAGGTGACGAAGGAAAGGCCGAGACCACCTGGCAGATCGCGACCACCTACGAGACCGACAAAGACCGTAAGTAATGAAGATAAAGAAAACAAGAAAATGGATTTAACTGAAAGCAAAGATGAAAAAGTAGCGGAATATGTGGGAGATACAGATTGTGAATCGACGGAGAAGACAAATGAGCAGACGCTAGAAACCATCAAAATTAAAGAAACATCGGAAGAGACATCAGTAGGTGAAACAAGTAAAAAAGTTGATGGTAAAGATTAGATAATGTCATCTAAATTTCACCATTTAAGTTTAATATATAATATACTGTATGTAGAAATATAGAGTTGTATTATTATTATTATAAGACAAGTGCATCATTGTTTAAAGAATTTTCGTAAAGCTCTTATGAGAAAACGAATTTAATATTTTGTACACATTTTAAGAAAAAACATAAACTGTATATGAAATGAAGTGTATAATGCGTTATAATCAAAATAAAAATTGACAGGTACGTATTTTATTATGAAAATCCAACATGACCGCATATGCTATAAGATGGGTGGGTACGTGACGTGTGACGCGTCGCGTAAAAATGACGGAAAGTTGGAATAATTGAGTAATGTATGTGAGACGCGTCCAAAGCATATGAATAGGAACATCATTCGAATTTATAACTAATAAACTTAATGCAACAATGTGTGATCTTATGTGAATAATATTCCAAGCATGAACTTTTTATTAATTTCAAACGGATTTTCTTTTCTTGCCCTTCTGGAATGAGTTTTCAATGAAATAATCAAGAAGGTTTTGATTACCTGATAATAATTATTATAACAATTTGCCGACATCATCACATAGATCTTTCATAGACATGAGGTTTTATTTAATGAATGATATTTTGGCCCAGGGCTTCCATATCAATAAATTCATTTAGATTTACTTTCTATTATAATAGCGCGTTACAAGATTAAGTGAAATATCAAAATAATGAAATAAAAATAATACAAATTTATTCAGAAATTTCCAGATAAAAGACTTTGAAAGAATAGATAGAAGCTGTATGTTGGACACATAATAATGCACTTCAATTAAATATTGAGCATGCTGATAATAAGCAAGCAAAATTTTGAAAATGAATAATAGTGGAAGACAAATACTCCTGAAATAAAGCTTTTTTGGAGTTTAAAAAAATTTCGAGAAGAACATAAAATGGTTTCAAATACAGTTTGGGTTACAGTAAATAAACACCTGGACTATAATAATCTCTTATGTTTTTTCATGTGCAAGTGCCTGTACAAAGTATCTTTGAAACATGTTATATTGAAAAATTCTAAGAAAATCCTGAGAAGATCTTGTGCTTATATGTACAGAAAAATCCACAAGCAATCAGAGAGAATTTGGGAGGAAGTAATGTTTTTTTGATGGACACGGATTGGAATGGACGAGAAGCATCTTACTCAAGCTGTTGAACATTTGCTAATTTTTGTTATCGAATACATTTTTTTCTTGTAGATGATTCTCGAATTTTCGAATCCATTGTCTTTTACTTTTTATGGCCATACATTCGTCAAAGATGTCTGTTAATAGCGAGCCACCGATGCCTAACTGGTATGGGCGGCATTTCAACTTTACATACAGTATGTTTAAGAGGATAAGTGAAATAATGAAAGAGAGGGAAAAAGACAGTTTTCGGCAACCTACTGTATTTCTAACACGCGATAAACTATTGTTATGCATACATTAAAAAAGGAATTTATTGATACATCGGGAGAATATGATTCCTCCACATGCATAGCTTTATGTAAGGCGCATATACTGTAAATTAGTATTTATATTTTTTATCCTGAATGGGGATTCAGAATTTCCAGAAACGTGTTAGTTGTGAAAATGAGTCCTTGGGGTAGGTTTTTTCTTTACGAATGGATTGCTCTCCTTCTATCAAAATGTTCGCAGATGAACCATTTGTCATTAAACGACGCCAAGGATTTTTTTGGTGCTTATTAGCGAGAACATCCAAATAAACTACTACTGTATCGGTTATCACTTGCATTGGTTGCGCATGACAATCCATAAAATTAAAAGATAGTATGGCGTTTCGGATCATCCATACAAAATTTGGGTGCCATATGGTTTAGTACATATGCACGCAAAGGTACCTTTGAAACACCGCGGTAAAATATTTTTAATGAATTTATTTATATAGATAGAACTTCTTGCTATCATACGTGATCAAATCGTTAATTCCAAGAATCAAATATGCAGCACTCGTTCAATATTGCAATCATCGCAATTTTGGTTGTCCTCTTATCAACAGTCGTGCATTCGGACGTTGTCCACACAATTCCAAGATGCCATCCGCCTCCCATTGGAATAAGACCCGTTATGCCTTTTTTGACGGTGACTCAACCAACTGGAACCTACGCGGTAGGTTCGAAGTTGTCCATCTCTTGGAAAGGATTTCTGATCATGAATAATCGTAAGTCAGCTATCTCTTCTTTGATGTTTGACCTTTACTGCAATGAGGAATTCTACCAACACCATATTTTTAATGATCACAGCTAGACTATCTATAGAATTATGGCACGGTTCTGAATACATCGAATCTTATCCAGGTGTAAGTTCAAACTTTTATGACCTTTTGTAAATTGAGATCCTAATGATTTTGATCTTTGTTAATTTTCAGAAAGTTTACTTTAAAGATTCCTCAAAAACTTGGAGGGCACCTTTAACAGCGCGAGCGAATTACTCGATAAAAATTTTTGCCATATCAAACCGATGCATAAGAGGTGAATCAGCGTTATTTAGTATTATCAGCAGATGACACAGTAAAAGATACTGGGTAGATAAATTTAAATAAAGTGGTTAGAATTCTTTTAAATTTAGTATGGACGGTCACGCTGAAAATTTTCTTCTCATAAATGACTGACAAACTGTCTTCTACGAAATGAACATTTTCATTAATCCGTGGTATATTAAACATCATCTTTACACACGCGACTCTACTCCTGCATCTGTGAAATTTGGGGTAATGATTTCCTTAAAAACTTTTTGCTTTTCGAACATCTCTTCGTTACCGCTAAACACCATGGATAAAGTTGTTGACAACTTCACATGAAGATCATCTAAAATAAGTTCATTTGAAGATGGTTCACGGACAGACAAAACGATCGCTTTAAAGGCAGAAATAGACAAAGTACGCGCAGGCATGTGATGTACAACATCATCGACCGAAAATTTTATTTATTTATCGAGAAAAAAAAAATTATGAATGCAAAGGTTTATAAAAGTAAAATGTGAAAAAAAAAAAAAATGTAAATGTGATTTCTCTATTCTATTTAATTATCCGAATTCATTTTTGCACCCTCAATATCAGCTAGGACCATCTCTTTCACTAACGAGTCAAAGTCCACCTTTCGTTTCCATCCAAGAAGTTTATTCGCTTTAGCGGGATTACCAAGCAAAAGTTCAACTTCAGTGGGACGGAAATACTTTGGATCCACGCGTACGCGAATGATTCCTGTATCTTTCTCACGACCGACGAGTTCTTCCCCTTCCCCTTCCCAGATTATGGTCCTTCCTATGACAGAAAAGGCTTTATCAACATATTCTTTAACAGTATGCGTTTCACCAGTGGCAAGCACAAAGTCGTCAGGACTATCTTGCTGCAGCATTAGCCACATGCCCTCTAATAAAATCAAAGGTTAATTAATTGGTATGAATAGTTGTGACAACACGATCCTTTTACATAGATTTAGATTTACTTACCAATATAATCCTTGGCATGCCCCCAATCACGCTTGGCGTCTATATTACCAAGCCACAGACATTCTTGTTTACCCAAGGAGATTTCAGCGACAGCGCGCGAAATCTTACGAGTGACGAATGTACGTCCACGGCGAGGCGACTCATGATTAAAAAGGATACCGTTACAAGCAAACATATTATAAGCTTCACGGTAGTTGATAACTATCCAGTAAGCATATAGTTTGGCAACACCATAAGGAGAACGCGGGTAAAACGGAGTGGTCTCTGATTGAGGTGTTTCAACGACTTTTCCGTAAAGCTCGGAAGTGGATGCCTGAGAGATTACGTTAGAGGAGATATTACGTTAGAGACTTGAATAAATAAATAAATATATATACTGTATATATGAACGAGATTTAAGCAATGTCAAATTTTATCACACCTGGTAGAATCTAACGTGTCTGGTTAGGCCACATGTTCGTATGGCGTCCAATAATCGTAAAGTGCCCAATGCATCGACGTTTCCCTATGTGGAAAACTTGCATGAATAATGATAATAGGAGGAACGCTCATCAACGCAACGAAAAATTTACATACCGTATATTCGGCCATATCAAATGAAACCTTTACGTGGGATTGAGCGCCCAAATTATAGATTTCGGTTGGAAGAACTTTCGATATGATGTGTACAAGATTGGTCGAATCGGTCAAATCACCATAATGAAGGATCATTTTAGGGCCTAGAAATTAAAGTCAGAGTTTGATTTCAGTGATCATTGCACATTTCCTTTACCTGATCACGTGTAAAAATGGGATCAACGATGCAAAGTGATATGACACAAACGTACGACGAGATGACGGAATTTATTCACAAACAGTTTTGATATATGCTATCACTCACCCTCATGAGAATCTCTGTAAAGATGTTCGATTCTTCCGGTATTAAAGGACGACGAGCGTCGTATAATCCCATGAACGGTATATCCCTTTTCCAAAAGGAACTCTGTTAGATAGGAACCATCTTGTCCGGTGATGCCTTGATAGAAACAATGAATCAATCGTCAAACATGGAAAATTCCTATAAAATATTGCATTTCCTCGAGAAATAGAAGCCACATCAAAATATGACATGCGTATTAAACATCCTCACCAGAAATCAAAGCGACCTTTCTCTTTCGATATTCCTCTGGTGAGAGCGAAAGGACTTTGAGAATGTTAGTTGATACGATGTTAGATGATACGCTGGTAGACATTTCTTTTGAGCGCAAGATGGAAGAAAGGTTGTATGAACGAGCGAGAGAGAGAGTGAGAAGAATGAACACGCTTTTTATTGGTTAACTTCAGGTACACAGTGCGTGATTGGCTGTGTAGCTAATTCAGATTGATACTGTATCTGCATTCTTCAATAATTAACAATGGAATCGATATTTCCTTTACTGCATACATACTAATTTATGGATCATCATTATAAAACTGATTTCGTGGTGCGACATTAAGCAAATTCCTAACACGTATCGTCGTTTTAAAACAAGCAAAACGAAATTTGCACATTTACTATAAATATCATTCAAGTTGCATGGCGGTAGGCCCGGATTCGGTTGCCGAGTGATCGCCAAATTGATTCTCGAACTCCTCGAGTGTCATCTGTTCGACCTGCAAAATGAAATTTAATGAATTCCAAATTTAGTAAACTATGAATCCACAATAACATGAATGATACAAAATCACTTACTCCATTAAGAGGAACCAAATTGGACTTGTCTTCAGATGAATCGTAGATCAAGATGAAGTGACGACGTTCTTTCCAATACATGGTGTGAATTCGTATCATTGTTCGGTGCAAACTCAGTAGCATAGTTGGTGGTTCGTCGATTTCCTGTGAATAGATCACAAAATTCGAGTGAAACAAGGGTGACTGAATATTCGAAAGTTGAAAATTCGTGATTTACCATTGTTATCTTGAAAATTTCTTGTTCCGTGAAGTATCGAACTTTGTTGGCCTTGGCGTGCATTACCAAATCAAGATATGCTATTTTTGCGTTTAGGCTACCGTAAAAAAAAAAAAAAAAGGTGTAGCGCTCGATTAAATCTTTAAATTATTATTATTTTAAAAGATTAAATTTTCACAAACATTACCACTGAGTTTCCATCGAAGTTGCAACGTGCGCCAAATATCCTAATATATTCTCGTTTAAAACGAGCTCCCACTTTGAATCATTGTAAATTTTGTTTTGCTACATCGGATTTTATAAGCATTTATTACTGACATGAAATTTATCGTGCATCAAGGAATTCTAAAAAACTTACATGTTTCATAACGGCGAGTACTCGACTTATCACCTCTTGCTCTTTGACGAATACTGCCGTGGTGACAGTCAAAAAACCGCCTGGAAGTAACATCAAAGATAAGAATCGTGATCAGGAATTGATGGGGAAATGTGAAATTTTTTTCACCTTGTGGAAAGAATTCCACAAAATTTGAGGATTCCCGAGTTTGAGGATTTACACCATATCCACGAAACTTGCAATTAGGCAAACGCTTGAGTTCCATTAAATTTGGCATGAAAAGGACTTGCTTCTCATAAAAGGAATGAATCTATATTTTTTCACCCAGTATGAAACAAATGCGCATTCTTATCAAAATGAGATGAAAATGCCGAAATTTTTTTACAAGCCGAAAGAATACTTGCTAAAACAAGTCCGATATCATCATTATAATCTTTATTGTACACTGCACCCAAATAGTCCAATACGTTGTTCATCTCTTTAATCTCGGGACACCTATCGGGATCGGGGGCAAAATTCATATACCTAATACCAGGATTTTCACATATCTTCATAATTTCGTGATAATTATTAATCCAAATGAAGGTTTCAATATCCCGGAGCGACGGGTTGTTTTGAATGGTTTCGTGGTCAAAGATTCTCTCGTGTTCTTTGGCGATGGTCATACTGTTGGATAAGGTTTTTTCGCATATAATATACGGAACAATAGGACGTGTGGTTAACTTTAGCCTTTCTATTAACCTGCTGGTATTCGGGAAGATGAGCCAGCATCTTGTCTTTTCGTCGTTTAGCCAACTCACGCCTACCTAAAAAAAAAAAAAAAACTTTTTGAGACACTGTGAAGTCAATGAAGTCAATGAAGTCAATGGGTTCACAAAATGAATACTCGCTATTTCATTGTCTCTCATGAAAATGTATTCTTCGTTTATGTTTCGAATAGAAGTTGGTTTTTGTATGGGCTCGATTAAGTATAAATTTTCGTCAGTATTGGGATTAATCAACTCAAAAGCATAAGGCAACGTTATATAATGCTTCATCCAAAGCCGATGTTTATTCATAATTTCATCACTAAGATGAAGATAAAAGAATTAAATTTTGCCAAGCGAACCATTATTTGTAATACATTGTTTCTGATCGAGCACGCACAGTCTAACATGATCTTCACATCTTCCCGGAAAGGGTCTTATGATCACGGTTGCGATATTCTGTATTGGATCCGCCTTGAAAAGAAATCCCTTCCAATGCCTACCAAGATTATTCTGAGATTACGAAATTCTCTGTACGTTTATCATATTAAATAAGACTAGTGCTTACATAACTGATTCCTGCGTGGTACCTTTGATCAAAAAGTAAAATGTGTGAGCAAGAGCATTGAAAAGAAATGTCTTGACATTATACTTGCCTCTAATGTCGATTGCAGCAATCATTGGTTGTTGCCTTGTTCTCATTCTTAATAATTCGCGTTCTCTATTTGGCAACATTGAGATGAAAAAAAAAAAATAATAGTAATATTTTTTCCCCAAGATTCTACTCACTCGTGAACTTTTTCGTTAAAAATCCTGCTTCGTTCAGCCGATTGCCATTCCTCATTTTTACCCGGCATTTGGAATTTAACTGATTTTTTTGTTTTACCACCAGTGGACTGAGGATATTCTCGTGAGGTGTTGGTAGAAAGGGTCTAATATTTGAAAAAAAAAAAAAGAGATCGGCTAGCTTTGACGAAAGATAATCGATCGATTACTTCAAAGTTTCTATTACTTCAACATTTTTTGCTTTAAGGTGATTTTTGTTAGTTGAAATTGCTCTGCGAGATGTTGATGCTCCTCCTCCAACGTTGCCTTGTTGAGCCAACGAATTGTAACTGTTTATTGGCATTGGTTGATGATCATATGATTATTTGTGTGAAAACTGCAAACAATGATATTACAAACACTGACTTCTTAATGGGTTTTCCGAGAAGACTTTTCATTCTCGATCTCGATTTTTTTGAAGACATTATTATTGTCAGTTTTTGGGGAAAGGAATTACGCGGAGATATATATACATATACAGTATATCCCGTGGAAGTTAAATATATGATGAGTTATTTGAAAAAATTCTGTTTCTGGATCACACAATGATTCTATGGTAAACATTAGGTCATATCTTTTTCGTCTTTATGATGACAAAGTGACAAAGTTTCATGAACATTATTCTTATCCGAATTAATTATGTATTCAAATAATTTCACCCATTAATAAAGTAGTCGCTTTGGCGGAGTGGTTAACGCGGTGGCCTGCTAAGCCATTTCCCTTTGGGAGCGCAGGTTCGAATCCTGCAGGCGACGCTAATATTTATTTATTATTTATGTTTTCTTTTTTTTTTTTTTTTTGGATATAATTTTAATTTACTGGAAATATCAGGTTTTTTTTTAATCGATTTTGGATTTTCGATTAGACGATCTAACCCCGGAGCTGTATACTATTGACGTCAGGGAATTTTTTTTTTAAAATTTTAAGATCTTCACCATCTCGTCCTTTTACAAAAAAAAAAAAAAAATGACATCTCGACATTTCTATACAAAGCTGACACCTTGCCTCTCTTCAATAAGCCCCCTAACAACCTCAAGATCATCCTTGTTCAATGTTGTCTCGCATCAATTCCAGTTACCGTTAATTGCATCAAATTTGGTCCAACAGAAAAGAGGCGGAACCGCTAAACCTAAAAGTCCGTTTGATACAATATCCGTGTCCAAAAAATATGATTCTATTATCATTTGCCTAGAATTGTCCAAAGCATGATTCTTCCATTGTTTACCTGATGATTAGTTTCTTTGATTTAGTAACAAAAAAGCAGACTCCATCAAAACCTAAAGGCGGTTTTAAAAGAATACAAAAAGGGAAGATGAAAGGTGGAACGGGTGAGGTCTGTTGTTAGCGATACTTTAGTCACGTTTGGAATTGATTTTTGCATCCAAGTTCTCAAAATGTCATCCCTTTCAATTATAGGCTGAGGAAACTGTATCTGGTTCAATTGGAGAAAAGAACTCGGAATTCTATAAACCTCTTCCTGCTGTATTATTAAAGGACATGTTACCCGTGAGTTTACGCTATTTGCGAAATTTTTAATCCAAAGAATCACTTATTTGTTCTAAATCATCAATGATTACAAACATCGACCAGGACGTGTTTATGGATGAAAACATCGGAAAAATCTTTAAATTTCCGGACGAAATAATACCAAAGTTGGGAACCTTCAAACTTCCACCGGTTCTGGAGAGAGAGGTCAGATACCCCGAAGGAATTTAACAAATCTAATAGAGATTGCGTCAGATCTTAACAATTTATTTATTTTATTTATTTATTTATTTATTAATAGCTTTCTTTATTTCCCGTTCTGTCCTTGGCAGTGCGCAAGAAATCGGTGGAATTAATTAAAATGATCGAGTCTACGTCAGAAACACCTTCTCTCAAAACTCGCGTTATATTATGTAAGTGGAATGGTCTACTACGTTGTACCTTATGTCATCTTACTTATATGTTTGATTTTTTACGGATAGCCGGAAAACTGGGCGCAGGGAAAAGTTCATTATTACTTCAGGCTGTAAACTACGCATTGCTCAAAGAATGGATTGTGATTTATATTTCGGATGGTGTGAAATATAGCGGTTTCGTGAAATTGTTATTTCGACCTCTCTTAGTTTACAACTTACTAACTGCATGTAACTCATTCAACAGCCATCAAATATGTAAATAGTACGCATCCATACGTAAAAGACGAAGCTAAAAATGAGTTTATACAGCCCACGTTGGCAAGCGAATTGTGTAAACAAATTAAATCGGTCAATGGAGAGATATTGGAACGTGTAAGTTGATGTATGAGTATGAGAAACCCATATTGCTAGATAAGGGATTTATTATCTCATCAGAATCCATAATTTTAAATCAGATACCGCTCAAGAATGGATGCAAGATTGGTAATGTCGTATTAAAAGAACATGACAATGTTTCAAATTTATTGGACATAGGAATCAATAACATATACGAAGCTCAAAATGCGTTTGAAACATTTATGAATGAAATTGGAAATAACTCAATGTAAAGTAAAGCTATCATGATTAGCTAGCTCATGACTTTCTTATTTATTCTCAAGCTAATCCCATCGAAAAATTCACGTGAACGATAATAGGCATCCTGTGCTTTTGGCAGTAGACGCGATCAACGCGTTTTACACGGTATCCGAATACACTGATTTGGATGATACGTGTATGGAACCATTCAGATTATCTCTTCCTCGCGTGATACTAGAGTATTTCTCAGGAAAGCGTGATCTTGTAAGTTATGCTCAAAGAATCATAACACTGGTTTACTGGCGACTTGGAAATTTTTTTTCTAAATTAAATTGTTCGGTTCTGTAGACTTTTGGTTCCACGGTTGGAGCCTTGTCACATATCAACAAACGTTACATTAGCAAACCGCTCGAATTTGCACTGGGAATGATCGAGGCGTCACCATGGAAACAATACTCACCTGGTATTTTAGAATATACGAGAGGGTTGGTCAATTTTGACGTTCCTGAATATACAAAGGATGAAGCTAAAGGTGTGATGGATTATTATCACGAGACGAAAATTATCAATAGTAAGTAACTTTTTTGTTCATGTTGCATAAAAAAATATTCGAATTCACGTGTAGTACCTTAACGTGTCAACAACAGGGCCACACGATCAGATGTTTGAAAGATATTACACTTCGGCGAATGGAAACCCGAAAAAATTTTATTTATCTTGTTGCCGGGAATTATAAATTTTCCTATATTCGTCAGTTCTCAATCGTGAAATAGGCGTATGGTGAATTTCGATTTATTTCAAGGTGATGAAATGATGGATTCGAGGTAAACTCAACTCATATATTCCCTGTTTGAATTGAAAACTTAAATTTCAATGCACAAAATAAACGAGCTTAAACACAAATTTACATGCATATTTTGACACAGCACACGAACATCATAAATGCAGGAATTCTGGATCACAATTCTTTATCAAACTTTATTTGCAAATTTTTAGACACACGTCACGTGTCAAAGGTAAACGGTTAAATCAGCGGGAACGAAGGAGAAATTTTCATAAATCCATAATGTACATAGGGTGATGTTTGGCATAAATAAATAAACACAAGATATAAATATATAAACAGTTTTCAATCAGTTAATCTATATAATAAATAAAAAAAAAAAACGAGCCTGACAATTTCAAGCGTACGAAGTCGATGACAGTCAAACAATTGAAAAAGAAGAAATTTGCCTAAACTGACAGAAAAGGTATGAGCATGCAATTTCTTAAGAACCTTGAAAGTCGAATGAATGATATTTTGAAATCATAATCGGAAAATCTTAAGTTGTAATGTGAGTTCTAATGAAATGCAAATTAACAATTTGATGGTAGTTCGAATACACCGAAAAATAAATAAAAAATTGTTCGAATTGATGGAAAATCGGAGAGTCTGAGAACGTGAATTTATAAAAAAAAAAAAAAAGAACATTTTTTGACGAATTGAACCGGCAACTGTCAAACTAACGTTACAAGGGGTTTCAAGAATACATCAGACAGTTCACAATAAAAAGTGCATCAAATTCTTCACAAATTTACAATCAGGTTACAATTAAACCCAACAGCAAAAAATATCTCGGGTTTATTTCTAGGAAACGATTGAGCGGTCTCGGCAGTTTCGAAGGCTTCGGGAACCACGATTATCATGGAATCTTCATTGATCATCCGGATATTATGTTCGCTCTTAACGAGGTGTAGTCTAATTTCAAAGAACGAATAAAGTTGCTGTTCCTTGGTTTCACCTTCCTCGAAATCTTGTGAATTTTGGAGTTGGGCTTCGCAGAGTTCAGAATGACAATGTTGACAAAGTGCACACTTAAAAATTCTTTTGTTACCCAATCCACTGTTAAGAACTGCTCCCCGAACTTCTGTTGAAGGTGCGGGATTATCTCTCAGGTGCATGGCCTCGGTGCGAAGTTGAGGCATAAGCACTCCCATTAAAAAATCCTCATCCCAGAGTGTTGTCGGATCATTGTCAATAAATGGTGGATTTCGAAAAGACTGGCACCAAGGGAGAAATTTAATCAATCCAGACTCAAAAACGGACTGTGACTGCGTGGTATTGGTATCGTTTGTAGAATTTGAATTTGCGTCTGAAACCCCTGACGTGGTTGTCTGAGTGCCATTATTATTCCCATTGCTCCCGTCCGGATACATGGTCCGAAGTTCAATCTCAGGACGTAGCAATTCAAAACACGTTTTAACTATATCCATCTGTCTAGTTTGCACGGCAACGTCATATGAAAAATGTCTCTCGGTGGCTTGTCGTTGAGCCTTATGAGTTGCCGCAATCTTGTCGTGCTGTGGGATCAACTTATTCCTAAATCCAATCCAAGCACGTTCGGTAAAAGGGTGTGTTGACGAAGACATCATCGCCTTATTGTAAACCATGCATTGTTCCACATAAGCCATCTTAAATCTTGGAAATCCATATTCATTTTTCTCCTTCTTAATCAAGCTTTCGATTGTCGATGCTCGTTCCTCGCGTTTCTTCTCATTATCCTCAGTCTTAGACCAATACGCGTTTTCATGCTCGATCTCCCGTTTTGCGACGTCTTCCATTTTCTGATGACCTTCCTTGCGTCTGGCGGCGAGCCAAGATTTTCGGGCTTCGCTGGAAAGTTTGGTGTACTCGAGATAGGCCTTATGAACGTCTTCGATCCAATAGAGGTTGGCAGGACGGTTCTTGGGACTACGATCCCAACCCCATTTGTAATAACTGGTGGTGTGAGTCAGTCCGCAGAGAATGTCGTCGGGAACCGAGCCCTGAGATAGTAGGTCGCGTCGGATTTGATCGAGTCTTTGATGCAAAACAAAAGGACGATGGATTAGGCTTCGGTCGCAATACAAATGTGGCGAGGATGCATACATAATCCGGTTGACTTACCTCATGGTTCTTTCTTCCAAACAAGATTTACAGCACCTTGCGAGAAATGCCCAATAAACTCTTCTAACTCTCGGCTTTCCACAAAACTGACATCCGCGTTCAAACAGCAGTTTCACGTACTGCCGTTCGTCCATCTGTTCGGGTGGTGGCATCTGAACCTGGGGCATGAATTGCATCCTCGAATTTTTCCAGATCTCTTGGGTGGTGGTCGAGTTAGTCGAGCAAAGGTATGCGTGAAATTTCTTGCAAACACGAGCGAGAGAAAGGAGGTCGGCGGGTGGTAAGTCGAGGCATATGTTGATGAAAATTTCTGGGGGAATTTTTAGTGCGGGGCATGGTTCGGTCATGATGATCGTCTTTGGATATTTGCTAGGGAATTTGAAGTCGAAGGATGTAAAATAAAAAAAAAATAACGAATCGATCTTCCAAAACGATATATATGAGTTTTTATTGTGATACTTGGATTTCCAAGTTGCACCGCCTGCCTTTATATGCTTTTTTTATTATTAATTTTATTATTATTATTATTTCTATTTCTATGTCTATATATATTTCTATATAGTTTTTTTTTTTTTTTGAAATTAAAAAAATTGTACTGACTCTCCGTAACAAAGAGGAGAATGTCGGCGAGTAAATTTTGGGGTAAATAAGGCCACTCTTTTACGTCCAAATAATGGTTTATTGAAACCATGTTTGAAAAAAATGGTGTATTAGAACAATAGGGCTAATCGATTTCTTTGGTAACTCGTATAATTACAATCTAACATGGTGGGTTTTTATTAGGAATGAAATTCTTTTTATTTTTTTCTAAAAAAAAAAAACCATTTTTATTTTATCTATGCTACTATCGTTCGATCAATCAGTGTCGTGATTTTTCAATAGATCGGCAGAAATCAATCAAAGATACAATAGAAACATTTTCATCAATTGTCACGATCCTAAAAAAAAAAAATTATGTGTGCGAATAAAAAAAAATGAAAGAATACACATATTGTTTTAAATGTCTTGTTTCATTTCTAATCGCGTACAGTGGTTTTCTTGACATCTGGAATGATCTAAAACAATCGAATTCTGAAGATCGTGACAAGTTGACGTGCATCTTCTTTTGCTTATTGTGATGCCAACGCCTTCTCGGTGTTGCGTTTGAATAATTATTATTGCGTATTTGTTTATATTGAAACATTTATTATTATCATTTTTTTTTGTTAAGGTTTTATTTTTGCATCAACATCATACACACGAGTCGACGAAATATGGGTTCACCCTTTGGGACCAGATTTTTTGTTCACAACCATGCATCATCAAACTTTACGAGAAGTCGTTTCAAACATCTCGAAGTTTTCTCCTTTGTGCTAAACAATCACATGGAGTAAATGTATAACGCAGGTCGAACTTGATAATATCATGCAAGTGTCTAAAATTCTACCTATTTATTTTTTCGTGGCATTCAAACGTACATATGATGATGTAATCATGCGACCAACAACAAATCTATTCGTTCTCTGAATCGTTACGAAAATAGTTAAAATCACATTATTTGGCATCTATAGAGTTCGTTTAGTAGAAGTTGATACATAATGTCTTATTCCGGAGTTGCCTTGAATGCACGATTACATTCGGTGAACACACGGAACATGTGTCTATGTAAAAATGTTGGTGATGGCATATTCCGTAGACTGTTTCATGGACATAAAAACAAACAATTAATTTCGGAAGTTAAAATAATTCAATTCAGGAAATTTCATGCACAATTTATCTTCAATAACTAACTTATGATTGGCATTTACCATCCGTAACGTGAGTCGACATAGCATTTATAAAACTATAAATTTACTGCATTATCAAATCTCATCCAATCCTAAATTTCGAAACCATTGTTTGTTTACTATTCGACAACAACTGCGCGGAACAAAGTACCAGCGTGATGCATTGCGTCATTAATGAAAAAATTTAATGTCACAGGTTGTACGTACCTTGCGTGTATGTTATTTGAAATTATTGTTGTTTCCTTATATGTCACCGCGGATACGTTTTTCCTGTAATTTGGAATTGAACAGAACACGAGAGTTTTACTGGACTCTTGCAACACCTTCCTGTAGAAGCCAACAGATTTTGAAACATAAATTACCTGCGCGGTTTCTATTCAAATCTTATTTCCAGTTATACCAAACGCCTGCAGCTGAGCTTATTCATTTATGGTAGACTTCACACCTCTAGAATAATGCATAGACTTCGCATCTGATCAATGGTTCGAATAACGAAATGATTGCATTGGCCGAATTTCTTATCAAATAAATAATTACCATTCACCCCATAATGACCGACAATTTCATTTTTTTGTACTACATGAATAAATATGTGATACGATCTGTATCAGTTATTATCGTGCTTGCTTGTATAACGAATTTTCATTGAGAATTTCGATTTCTAGAAAAATAAACAAAATAATATGTTGCCTACTACTGTATATTAAAAACAAATGAGATCTTTGTCTCTTAATTAAAAATTTATCGTATGATTCTTGTTATTCTATTATTACTTCATCAATGAGAAAGAATGGTAATTCTTTTCAAATTTTTTTTATAATATTAATATATCAAATAAACAATAAAATTATTTATTTATTTATTTTTAAAAGTTATAGCAGCCTTCTATATATTTATTTATTATTATGTTTATTCTAATCAGACTATATGTCATAGTAGTTTATTAATTTTTTAAAAAAATACAATATTACTATATTACTATAAATAAAAATAATATATTATGGCTAAACTGATACCAGTTCAATACTTTAATTTATTATAAATTTATATGAGTAGGTTATAATCCATATATTAAATTTACTATAAATTAATATCATTTTGATACTAGTTAGATACCAGTTTGATACTTTTCAAAGTTCTAATAATAGTATTTCAATATCAAGTTAATGTTAAATTTACTATAAGTTTAATATAATAAATTATAATTTATAATATTATTCTGATATTATTTTAATATTGATTTAAAACCCTATATCTATTAACAAGTTTTATAATACTAGTTGAAATTGATTTATTCAGCATAATGCCACTTGTTAATCATTCATCAAAAAGTATATAATTTAACTAATTAATCAAATTTATATAACTTTTATCTTTGACTATAAAGTAACATATAATTTATTTAGCATATAAATAGTACACTTTTTTTAAATCTTATTTTAAAGAAGTTAATATTTTAATAATAAAATGGATAATTTATTTTTTGCATCAAATATATATATATATATATATTGACTTTGCTGAATTATATTACTTTGATGAATTATATTACTTTGCCAAATTATATTATCTTGTCAAATATATATTTTTTTGCTAAATTATATTATCTTGCTGAATTATATATGTTTTAATGAAATTTTATATATTGTATTTGTAATTTAAAGGAATAACAATTAAATATTCACAAGAATCTTGTTGTTTTGAAATTTTATATTTAAATGAAATAAATTGAATAAAAATATTATAAATAGAAATTATATATTTGCATCTAATCAGATAAAATTTAATACTTCATATTTCAATATTTATATTATTTTCAGATCCAAAATAGAATCTGATATTTATCAAATTAACAGGTTTAAACTATTAAATAAAAGTTAAATTATATTGATCACATTATTTGATAAATTGTCCAAATAAATGAAGAAAAATTAAACATATCTTAAATATAAATCAATATTTTCATCATAATTCACAAATTGGGCTAAAACAAATAAATCTTTTATATTTGTAATGATATAATGGAATTAAAATTTTGCTTCCAATTTGACATTTTTTCTATTGATTGGCTCTATTTTAAACAATTATTGAATTATTATTAATATCTTCAATGAATAGCCTTCGAAAGTTTATAGTTTCATAAGAAGCTTTATAATATTCAATCAATAAATTCAAGATTTTAAAAAATACAATTAAATTTAATTTTTCAAGATACAATAGTTTGTCAAAAAATTGTTTAGATCCATTGATAAATATTTCTTAAATATTATATATATTATTTAAGAAACAACATAGTTTGTTTACCAAAAATTAATCCAATTCTAAAATTGATCTGATATTTGATTGATTATTTAAGATTTTGAGTCCTATATTATTATAATAAAATATAATTAGATTAATAATTTGGCAGTTATTTATTAATTTTCATATTAATTTGGGCTCAATATTTCAATAGCTATTAAGCAATGATTCTAAATTTAAAATTTGTTAAAATATTATTTTACAAATATTAATTATAAAAAAATCTATTTAACAAATCATTTATTTATTCAAATAAAAACAGTAAAAAGTATATAATAGTTTATAATAATATATGCATTTATACAGATATTGTAACAATTTTTCCACTTTTACTGCGCCACATGCCGTGTGACCAGAAATCCTGGGACATCCTGGAATACCCCGGAATACTGTGGAACATCCCGGAACTTCTTGGAACCTTGTGGAACACCCTGGAACCTCTTGGAATATCATGGAACTTTCCGGAATATTATTAATCATTTATTATTAATTATTGTGTTTATTATCTTTATACTTATTT